GCTGGCAAAGCGAATTAAATACGCGGTTACTCGTTTAAGTCTGTTGTAAGAGTGGTATCTGGTTAACAAATCCCATTCTTCGGAGGCTTGTGCTAAATACGAAATGGATTTGCTGGACTTCAGCTCCATCTCCGTTGTGTGCTGCGTAGAAGGTTGAAACCAGAAGCGATTACGTTCTTTAAGCCAAGTTGTCCCATTCCATCATAGAGGGTGGGCGAGAAGTTGCCAAGGTGTGATGCCCCTTGAGGCACAATCTGCGGGGTTATGTTCAGAAGTGACGTGTCTCCACTGTGCTGACGGTAAGATCTCTTATACGTCAGCCACGCAATTTGCGACGAACACTGACCAACGACTCGGATTACCTTGCAACCATGCAAATGCCACCATGGAGTCGGTCCACGCATACAGCCTCTCAAGCTTGAAGCCAAAACTTGATTTTACCTGCCGAACTAGCTTCGCGCTTAAATGAGCTGCACAAAGTTCTAATCGTGGCAGTGACGCAGTTTTCAGGGGTGCGACCCTAGTCTTTGCAGCGATTAACACAACGCTAACCTTGTCGTCGGTAGTAAGGGCTCGACAATAAACAGCTGCAGCATAAGCAGCTTGCGAAGCATCTGTGAAGACGTGGAACTCAGAATCTATAATGTGACTAGTGGCAAGCCAGCGACTTAAATTGAGCGATGCAAGTGTAGCTAGCTCACGTCTGTGCGTCAACCATTCAGCAGCTACGTCAGGTGGCACTAACTCGTTCCAGTCCACCTTCAGGCGCCAAATTTTCTGCAACCATATTTTAGAGCGGATTGTACAAGGAGCGATAAGTTCAAGCGGGTCGAATATCTTGCTCGAATCGGAAAAGAATACACGCTTTGTTAGCTTGTTTGGAAGCTCTTCTAAATAAAATGCGATTGAGAGCGAATCATTGTCTGTATGCCAGATACAGCCTAATGTTCGAATGTCATTTCCTTCAGCAAGGAGATGTGATACCTGTTTCAATGCATGCGTATGGTATTTGGTTTTTTAGCGGTTGGCAATTTTCCGCAAACTTTCTGAGCTCGAATCCGCTCTGAGAGAGCACGTAATAATCGTTCCTTTGAAGCGTAAATAGATTTTGAAATGAGTCTGAACTAGTTAGTAAGTCATCCATATAGAAGTCGGACGTAACGACTCCAGGGACGTTTTGGTATGCGTCGCCTATATCCAGCGCTGCTCGTTGCAAGGACTTCACGGAAAGATGCTGTTGGACCCTCAGCCCACTCATTTGGAATTTTGCTCACACGTACCAAAAACAAAAAAAAAAAACCACTCGCTTACCCCAAATCCTCCTTGATGAAATCCGCTGCTGTGGTTGCCGACACCAGTAATTAGACCCTCGTGGCAGAACCGTGGCAGGCCAAACTCTTAAAAAGTTCCGCAAAGAGCTTTGCTGCTGCAATATCTGGAATCACGGAAATTTCTATTCCGTGCAAATTCACACAAATTCACGCACGTCAACTACTTGTGGTTTAACAAAATTAAACAATACTTGGATGCGGGTTGTCAATATCAACTTATTTAAAAGATCCGGAAAATGCTGGGCACTACCGAAAGGTTTGAAGTCGTTTCTATAATTTGATTTTCATTCGTTTTTTCACTCGATTTATGTACCTGTGGAACTTATGTTCCATCAGGGCCACCAACATTACGACGGCGCTGAATAGTGCTGCCGTATTGTTAGCGATGCCATTACAGTGCGAAGCGGATGCCACCCCATACGTCACCTTTAAAAGACGGTAGTCACGCAATGGCTCTGAAGAACATCCACGCCATACAATACGTTGATAATCATCATCCTGCTCAGCAACGTAGACCTGCCGATACATTTTCTCGATGTCAGCAATAAGACCGTAGCGATGGTGCGGAAGCGCACCAAAATCGAGAACAGATCTTGTTGCAGCCGAGGGCCTACCATTAGAGCGTCGTTCAGTGAATAGCTGGATGTGGTACTCGTTTCTCTGACCACTGCGTGATGCGGTATGTAGTAAGTGGCTTGAGTAACTGGACCGGCTGGCTCCATGTGACCCAAGTCTATAAGCTCTTGCATGAACTTGCTGTACTCTTCATGAAGACCTTTGCTCGCGGCGAATATCCTTTCCATTCGCAGCAAAGCTCGAACTGCTGCGGCCCTCGATTCACCAATCGGAACCTCTTTTTTAAGAGGCAAGCGTACAATGAAGCGACCGTCTCCTGCTCGTTTGGTGGTATCTTCGACCAGCTTCTCGCAGTAACGTACGGACGTATAATGCTTCTTTGGCTGCAACTCCTCGAGTTCCCAAAACCTTGTGATGAGTTGCGTTAGCTGGGTGTCACAATAAAGCGTCGAGATAGAATCAGGATGTTTTTGCGAAGAAATCGCGTTTCCAAACAACACCCACACAAATGCCCTATTCTGCGCCATAGGAGTGCCATTTTTCCCCTTCCGGAGACCTTTAAGTAGGAACCAATCCATTTCGTCCATAACTATCAATACATCAATAGGTCCAGGCCTGGAGAAGTTAGGATCAGCCAGGGGTAAGTCACAAGTATGCGGCCAAGGTGATGAGGGTACAGCTGTAGTTGGAAGGTCATTAGTTATTTTCAACAAAATAAGAGTACTCATCTGGAAGTTTGAGACTAATGAAACACACTGCTACAATGCTACACAAACTTTAACTTCTCCCTTGGTGCAACCACATTTGATTGATCCAATACGAGTAACTTCTCCCTTGGTGCAACCACCTTTGATTGATCCAATACCAGTAACGCATATTGACGATGAGCTTCTAGTAAGATGAAGGCGTTGGACGCAAGATTCAGTAATGAACAAAGCATGTGAACCATTGTCGAGAAGTTCCATGAGTTTGGCGTTGATATTATATATCTCTGTACTAAGTTGCAGCACTCTACGATGAAAACTTCCAGAGATATGTTGTGTAAAAACTTCAGTTTGTATGGGCGTTGCCACGCCCCCTTTATATTTCAAAAATTGCTTTCAGAATATATATTAGTATAGATAACCAATGGAATACATTCTTCAATTAAATGTATCGTATGGAAAAATTTATATGAATAGTTTTTTAAATAATTGCAGTCATTTGAAATTAATTTCAAGTATTTTCCAAAAAAAGTGGAAGAATTCAAACGTAAAAATCTGTTTTCTTTAATTTTTCAACATTAGTAAATAAAAAAGCATAGCCTTTTTAAAAAATCGCCGCGGATATCTACGCGAAACTAAATTTTTTTTATTTAAAAAAAGAAACTTGAAATCGGTTCATATTTGGGCTCTCAAAATTGATTTGTCCACAGCAACCTTTTTTGCCCCACTGGGCGCTGTTTGTACATAAATTTCGCATACCTGAAGCTGGCAAAGGTTCTTTTATTTGTTTTTACGCTGCGCTAGTTGAGTATAAAAAGATAAGAGAATAGAGAGCAATATGTGGCTTATTGATGCTCTCTAAACGCAAACGCGTGAAAGACAAACGGTCTAGCAATGCGTGGTATTGTTGATCAACTTAATACTTTAATTAAACATACTTATTATTAAAATTTCATTTTAAAAATACCACTCTGTCCTATTGTGGTACAAATATGTCAGTTTAAACTTCAATCATAGAAATCGACCCAGTAGATCAGCTGCTTTTCCCTAACAAAAATGTGGGCTTTAATTTTATACATAGTATAGACAAATATGCATTTAAGGCAAAATATGTGAGAATATGCACTAACAAATCGATGTCATCTTAACACAAAGCTCCCGATTCGCAAGATTTGTTAATCTTTAAGTTCCTAGCCATTACATAAGGAACAACAATCAAAACATAGCCCTTGCTTACAAATCCAATTGCACACTTTCCACAATTTTTACAAAATCAACAAATAATTTTTAGCAAAAAAAAAACCCCGACTTCAACTATCATATAAAAAAATATATATATATATATATATCTCATGATCCACTGATCGGATCTTAACCAGATTAGTATGGGACCACCTCTGAGACACTGCCTTTTCGGTGCGAAAAATATCGAAATCGGTTGACGTGGTCCAAAGTTATGCGGTAACATACATACATAAAAAAAAGTCGGTTAAAAAGACCGGTCGAGCCCCAGCTACAAAACAACGTTGTATACGAAATCCTATGCAAAGGTAAAGAAAACGTACACTGCAACAAAATCTACACTGGGACTACCAAACGCGGTTTTGGCGTTCGCTTATCAGAACACGAGGCGGACATAACAATACTGCGCTAGCACCAAGAATGATAGAATACAAGATTGCTCATTCCCGGCGGCGATGTCATTTTTCGTGTAAAAGTAAACAAAGCCGAAGAGGGGTATAAAAGAAAATGTCAGAAGAGTCAATTACTATAATGCTCCATTTTTTGATAGGAAGGGTGTTTTAATTGCTTTGTAATAAATAACCAGGGAACGGATTTTATGGAAGTTGCCTTTCTTTCTGCTAAAGAGATACAGTATATTCGATTGAGAATGTCACCGATTTAGCCTTCCCTGATTCCATATATACTCATTTGATGTTCCCTTTTTTGCCTTTTATTCCTTTAAATAGCCAATGCCCGCTTGCTTCGCGGCGTCTAATAAGATCTTTGCGTTGGCATACAAAAATATCGTTTAAATGCAAAAGCGGTCTGTCAAGTAAACATTTTTAATTTAAATTGAAACGAATAAAGAGCAGAATCCTCCTCACACATAGGCCAAGAATAGTAGCGCTGTGATACCATATGGAATACTAATCCCTTTCGATGTCACGAGTTTTACCGATGCACAGTGGCCAATTTTTCGAAAAAACTGGCCAAAAGTTGAAGCGTGGTTCAATTGTAATCAAACCTTGTGTATTCGTCTTTATTTTGGTTGCTGGTTTTAAATTTCACCACATAATTCCGAAATTCAAAATGGCGGATCCATAATGGCTGCTGTGTACGCTTAAAATAATCAGATTTTTAGCAAAACTAAGGTAGTTAAGTAAAAAAGGTCATGTTTGTTATATAATGTGATGTAGCGGTTAGCAATATACGTTATCATTCCGCAGGGCCTGGGTTCAAGCCCAGTTTCCGACCAACATTAAAAAATAAGAAACAACCAATTTTTTTGTAATAAAGTCGCCCTTTGGCAGGCAATGGCAAACCCCCGAGTGTATTCAGCCACGAAGAACAGCTTCTCATAAAAATAAAATCCCCGTTCGGAGTCGGCGTAAAACTGTAGGTCCCTCCGCTTTATGTGACAACATCAAGGCGCAATCCACAAATCCGAAGAGAAGTTCGGACAAACACTAACGAGGTCTTAATGTTTGTTTCTAAAAATCTTGATGTTAAAATTTACACGGGAACTGCGGGATTTTGAATGAATCAATAAACAAGACATACATATTTGTTGGTACAGGAATATATTTTTAAGATAACAATTTTATACACCGTCAGACTCGCAGTCATCTGAAGTATCCAAGCTCGTATCTATATTTACTGATTGCAATTCCGCATCCGCATTTACAACAGTTGATAACAATTTAATGGCATCTGACGACAGTTTATGATTTTGTTTTGGTGGGTTTAAACGTAAACTTGAAATGACAGGGGCCGAGGATACAAGCAGCCGATATTTTTTAATATCCTTATTGCTTGACTCTTGGGTTTCTTCGGAAAGTTACTCATTTGGCAGGGGTGCCCATTCAATAACGAGAGGCCCATGGATGAGCACTCTAATATATAGTACTACTAGTAAAACATCAAATCTTTAAAACATCAAAATCTTGACAGAAATATTTTTTTACATAATTTAAATCTTTTAAACATAAAAAAATTAAGAATCGCGTATAAAAACTGATGTCCAAACTACAGTGACGGCTTGTGGCAGGTGGTTTTAACCAAGGTGGATGGCAAAAACTTCAATATATATGAAAAAAAAGTTAGACCGCCCATCTCGACCACTCTCGTAACTATTTTCCTAGTCCATCATAATGAGTAAACAAAAAAAAAAAAATTGCGTGACAATGAAAAAACATGTTTTACATACTCTAGATTACAATGTCCATGAGCGGATGCTTGAAAACTGTTATTTTTATTAAAGATAATACCACGATTTTAACAACGACGAAAACTCTAATTTACGAAAAGTTTAGAGCGAATTGCTAGCAACAGTCACTTCGATCTCCTGTAACACTAAATGCCTTGAGAGAATCGACTTGTTGTCTCATAACGATACGCAGTAGAGCCCTCCTAATATAAGATGGTTATGCATACGAATGCACCAATTTTTTTTGGACTTTTGGCCAGGGTTTTCCAAAAATTTGCCACTGTGCGATGGTATTATTTCCACCTGTGAGATCTCTGCGAAGCGTGCGTAATATTCTTCTATGATCTTGCAACTTCAGCATAGGCCAATGTGCCATGTAAGCAAATAAAAGTCCTGATAAGGAAACGCAAGAGCACAGTTGAACCAGAGAACGTCTATGAATGAGAAGGCGCATTTTCTGTGTGAACTAATTTCTGCCAGAAATTTTGGGGTGCAGTCGGTCAAATATACCACTCGTCGACGAGTGCACCACTCGACCAACGGTGTCGGCAGAGAAGTGTCGGCTGCCACCATACCAAAAATTTTTCCGTGCCACCACACTTTGAGCAAATTTACCATNAGGCCAATGTGCCATGTAAGCAAATAAAAGTCCTGATAAGGAAACGCAAGAGCACAGTTGAACCAGAGAACGTCTATGAATGAGAAGGCGCATTTTCTGTGTGAACTAA